GGTCTTCGTCCATGGCCTCGGCTGGGACACCATAGTGTTGGTTCCAATATGAGGAAAATCATTTGAAAATAATGCCATCAATCCCTTCAAACATCCTCAATTTAACTAGTACTGAACTATAAAAGTACCTAGAAATAAAGAAGAAATATTATAAATTAAAATTAAATTTTTAATTTAAGTTTAAAGTTAAGTCAAAAAAAAAAAAAAGACAATATGTTGTTTATTATTTAAAATTAAATAATGTATAAAATATTATGGGTGAGGATTGCAAGTTATAAAAATTCTAGATTTTTTTAGCATTCAGTGTAGAATAGATTTATATGATAAACTAATAGTTTTTGTAGAACATGCCTTTCTCAGATTTAGGTAAGGGGCTAAGACTAAAATTTTGTAATAATTTTGAAGGAAATTAGCAATATTTTATAGGTATATATTAAAAACAAAAAAAAAAATAGCAATTGCCCTAGTGTACAATATGAATCATGTTGGTTTGAAAGACGGTAGGCTAGGGTCGCTAGGCTGCTAGGAAGGAGTGGAGTTGGGTGAACAATATCAAGTTTTGGTTGGAGGATTGGAGGTGTTTCCCCGACAAAAAGTTCTTGCATACCACGTATCGTGACATTAATCAACATTATATTATCACAAAAGGAAAAAATATTTTATTTTAGTGGGTCCGGATACCATGTCAATCGGCACAATTAAGTATTTCACTATAATTAGCACAATTAAGTATTTCTCATATTTCGTAATCTCACGTGGGCAATAAATGTTATGGTCAAGGAAGGAGTGGAGATGTTTTATGAATATCAAGAAGGATGGAGGTTCTTGGATTGGCAAAAAGTTTAATTGCGTAAGTTGTAACCACGATATGGTATCACAAGCTTATTAAATATTGACATTTAATGATAGGATTCACTAAATTAATAATTAATTGATGATACAAATAATAAAATATTAAAAGTGAATAAAAGTCTCTCTCCTTGGATTTGTCAACTGTTATTCTTGGATTTGTCAACTGTTACTCTATATAAATATAGAAAAATGATTATTACACGAATAATTGCAGTAAATTGTTAGACATATTATTTTAATTGGTCAATTATGCAATAAATAAGGTAATGAAGTCCTTAGTTGTATTTGGTATAAATAGCCAATTAAAAATTTTTCAGTAATTCACTGTAAGTGTTATTAATACTCATATATATATTACGTAATATCACATAAGAAAAAAATGTTTTCTTTTAGTGGGTCATAATACCATGTCATTACTACCACGAGAGCAATTAAATATTTCATTACAACTGGTGCAATTAAGTATTTATAATCTCACCTGGGCAATAAATGTTTTTAGAACGGACCGGAGATGTTACATGAATATCAACAACGATCTGGGGTTCTTCGATTGGAGAAAAAAATTAATTACACTGATTTTAGTAATGATATGGTATCAAAAGCTTATTAAATACTAATACGTAATTATAGGACCCACTAAAATAATAATTGACTGATGATACAAATAAGGAAGTACAGTATTAAAGATGAATGAAAGTCTTTCTCCTTGGATTGGTCAACTATTGCTATATATATATATATATTAGGACAGTACTTGCCTACTTACTACATTCACCACGTATGTGGTGTAAAGCTAAACTGACAAGTGTCCTTATATTTAAAATAATAAAAATAGACAATTTGGTGGCTATCCGGGTTAAATCCAATTGAATCCGAATCAAATTCTAATTCTCTTTATTCTTCCTCTTTCTTATGCTTCTATCCTGTGGAAGCCCTAATCTCATTCGTTTATTCCCTCTCCCTCCCTATCTCTTTATCACGCTCATATTTTTAGAGAGAGAAACTTTTATCTTTGGAGAACGGGAAGAAGAGGAAGAGAAGTAAATGCAGAGGTTGAAATAGAAGACCAAGAATTTTTTAGTTAAGTAAATACATTCTCTCGAATTAGGGAGTTGTGACTCATAGTCTGAATGGGAGTTTCACATGAAGAAGAACCACCAAAGTGAAGGATGAAAGGCCCCTTTTGGTTAATTTCTACAAGTGTCTTAAATTTTATGATTGCAAATTTAATATGTTATCTCTTTTTAGTAACGATATTTGATTTGCAATTTTTTTGGGCACGAATTTCTCTCTCAAAAAATATGAGTGTGAGAGAGGGAGAGGGAGAGAATGAGTTAGATTAGGGCTCCACATGATAGAAGCTGAGAAAGAGGGGGAGAAGAAAGAATTATAATTTGATTCGAATTCATTTGGATTTAACTCGGATAGTTCTCAAAATATATATATTTTTTATTATTTTAAATGTAAGGACACTTATCAATTTAGCATTGCGCCATATACGTGGTGAGTATAAATTTCCTACTCATCGATAAACAGACAAGTATTGTCCTATATATTATCACATAAGGAAAAAATGTTTCTGTAGTAGGTTCTGATACCATGTCATCGCTACAATTGACGCAATTAAGTATTTCTCTACAACTGACGCAATTAAGTATTTCACTACAGCTGGCGCAATTAAGTATTTCTCGTGTTTCGTAATCTCACCTGGGCAATAAATGTTATGGTCAAGAAAGGATTGGAGATATTATATGAATATCAATAAGGATCGGGGGTTCTTAGATTGGAGAAAATTTTAATTGCGACGGTTGTAGTGATATCACAAACTTATTAATTAGGGACTCCTAATGATAGGATCCACTAAAATAATAATTGGTTGATTACACAAATAACAAAGTATTAAAGGTGAATGGAAGTCTTTCTCCTTGGATTGGTCAACTGCTGCTATATATATATATATGTGCATACATATATTATCACATAAAAAAAAATATTTTATTTTAGTGGGTTGTGATACCATATCATTACTATCACTGTTAAAACAGTTACGCACACATCCTACTTTCACCAAGTTTCGAACCTTCAACCTCCCCAAAAGAAGGAAGGGGTGGTACCGTTGTGCCATTTAGTCATTTAGTATTTAATTTATTTAATTGTAGTAATGAAATGGTATCACAAGCTTATTAAATACATGATATGACCTGCTTAGACTATAATTAATTGATGGCACAAATAACCAAATATTAAAGGTGGATGAAATTTTTTCTCTTTAGATTGGTCAGCTGCAGCTTTATATATATATATATAAAAGTATAATATATATATATATTTATTTATTTAATGAGAGAAAAAGAGAGAAAGGCAGTTAATTATTGACAACTTATGTAGTAAAGCTGAAGCCCTGAAATGATTGATGGAAGGAATAAAGCATTTGTTAAATTTAACTTTAATATTATTTTTAAATTTTAAAAATTATATCAAGAGGAAGTATACGCAAATTAAAAAATTCCTCTTCTTTGTAGTTATTATTATTTTTAGACTAATAAAAACTGTCTTATGTTCTATTTGTTTCTTAAAAGATTATTTGTTAATTTAAAGTTATCCCATGTTTTTTAGATACTTATTAAACCTAATATTTATAATACATAATATATACTTATATTAAATTTTTTATCTTTCAAAAAAAGATTTTCAACTACATGCATCCTACAAACTCTTATTCTAACGTATGGTATGACTATAAAGACGAGTGAGAAGCAGAGGAAGAAAAATAAAATATGTTAACTCATAATCATGAATTATGATTTGTCATATTGATCGATACGGATTTGTAATAATTTTTCAAGAGTTCGATATCGTTACATATCTTTATGAATTGACCAATTCAATTAATTTTCAAATCCATCACATCGTGCAAACCATGCTCATTTTTACTTTATCAATTTTTTTCAATTTTTTTTCTTTTTTTCTTTATCATATCCAATTGAAGCCAGTGAAGGGATAAACATTATATTTCCATTCCTTAATTATTCAAACACACACACACACACACACACACACACGAGTTAACATTAAAATTACGCTTGATTAGTGTATTGAGCAAATCTTGGTGAGATTAATCTTAATTACGCTTCCTAGCCCTTGAAAGTGTTACTAAAAATGTAATCATATTAATCTCTCTAATTATAAGAAACTAATCTCACTTTTAATCCTTGTTAATCTCCAATTCTCTATAATCTTAAGAGAAATTAGATAACCTAGATGATCCGGTCCAATCAAAATTTATTTTCAAATTTTCTTGAAATAGTTAGTTGTAGTTGTAGGGTCATTATAATTTAATATATTTTTTTATTTTTTAATTTGCAAAAAGAACACCCATATCCAATTTTATTCATATAAAAACTTAAACTCTTGACTTTCTCCTTAAAAATGTCACATAATTTGAACTAATAATTCCAAAATTAATTTTCAATTTTTTATATAGTATCTTGTGTCCAACACTGAGATAAATGGCTTTCAAAGAAGATATAGCCGCGCGTGCAGTCAGATGGGCGTGGAATTGATTTCGAAATATGAAAGTTTTGCTTTTTGCGGGATTTTTTTTACGAAGTCACGCTACCTTAAAAATCGAAACTGCTATATTTCCCAAGAAAAAAAAAAAAAAAAAAAAAAAAAAATCGAAACTGTTCAGGTCATTCCTTCCCATCTTTTTAAGTCTCAATCTGTGGCAGATAAGCAAAAAAAAAACAAAAAAACCTCAATGAAAATTCGCCACGTCAGCACCAACACTTTCTAACTAATAAAAATATCGTAGTTTCATACCTGATTTCATATAATTCGTCACCACAGTGTCACTGGAGAGTCACTTTATTCCAAGTAGGTTTTCCCAAAAATTTTATCACGTGTATGTCACGTGTCATTCAGTTGTGAAAATTGGACTCTTAAAGGCAAGGCAAGAGTTTAAAACAGTAAGAGACCTTTATGTGCATAAACTCATCATATACATATATATACATAATATATATATATAGATATATCTCTATTAAATGAGGAGAAATTTCGCATAACAAGTGGCGGGATTCCTGCATACAAACGTCTCCCGTTCGAGCGGCGATCCGAGAGGCGCGCTTTCTCTCTCTGTCTCTCTCTCTCTTTCTTTCTTTTTTTTTTTTTTTTTTCTTCTCTCACGAGAAAGAGGAGAACAAACTTGTCGTCATCATCGTCACTGTTATGACCATAATCAATGCCGTTCTAGGCTTTTCCTTCTTTTCACTTCTGTGTTTCTCTCTCTAAAATCTCGCTTTCTCTCTCTATATATATATGCATTTTATATGATATACACACATATGTTGAAAGTCTGGATTTGATTGCTTTCGTTACAATATTGTTCTCCTAAGTAATCAATCAATGGATAAAAAATCGATTCCTGTATGTTATCTATTCTAATTCTGCTGATAATTTTTTTTTTTCACGCGAACGAACGATTTCTCGGATTTTGCTTGCTCTCGAATCTGATCGATTGCCTTTGCGTGCTTTTACTTGCAGAAAATTCGGATCCGTAGATCGTCTGCGAGCTGCATTCGCGTGTCGTTTGACGTTCAGTAGCGGCAAATTTTGTAGCGAAGTAGAAGACGAAGCTCTGAAGAATGGAGAAGAAGAAGTGTCCAATAGGAGCTGAGTATTATACTCTGTATGAGGAGGTAGGGCAGGGTGTTAGCGCTTCGGTTCATCGTGCCCTATGTATTCCGCTCAACGAGATTGTTGCCGTCAAGATTTTCGATTTTGAACGGGACAACTGTGATCTGGTAATCTCTCTGTCCTCAATCATACATATATACATACATATATCTATATATATATATTTGATTTTCATTTTTTTTTTTCTTCCTGCAATGTTTCGGAGTTAATATTTGAATTAGCTTGGTTATTGTATGAAACAGAGCAATATCCTTGGTTGTGCAATTTTCTTAAGCATGTTATAGATTAGAAGTAATTTGTAATTTAGATGTAGGGAAAAATATGATTGAATGTGGTGTGACTGAGTTTATGATGTTCAATAGATTGCCGTGAAAAATGATTCATGTAGTTAACCCCAAATAGTTTGGAAAGGGCTTCATTGAGTTGAGTTGGGTCAAGTAATGCGATTTAGATATAGGATTTCATGTTGTGAGACCAAGGTTCTTGGAGGCATCTAGAGGCACACAGATAGATATAGCATTTTACTGATCAAATATGTTCCCTTCCAGTAACCAGAGTGTATGGTGATAATGCAAAAGAGTAGGTTTTCGAAGGAACATGGGACATAGAACTCATACACTGACATTCAACACACGCAGAGACTGGGCTTCCTTTCCCTATGCATCAATCCCAATTGAATGCAATGCGGCCAGAGTCCCAGCCAACATTCTTATACCTGTCCGCTGTCCTTTCAATCCTCCCGACTAGAAGGCAGAAACAGCAACTCTGGCCTGGCTGTATTTCTTCGTAGTTGAGGTAGATAGGCGACCACCCATGATTCCCATCAAGCGTTAACATTAATGTGAATGTGTTTCTTTTGAGCAAATCTAGTTTTTCTTCATCCATCTGTCCAAAAACATTGAGACCATGTGGTCAACGTTAAGTTTAAAAGAGTAACCAGAGTGTAGGGTGAGAATGCAAGAGGGTAGGTTTTCAAGAGGAACATGGGGCGTAGAGCTCATACACTGATATTCAACAAACGCAGAGACTGGGCTTCCTTTCCCAATGCATCAATCCCAATCGGATGCAAATCATGCAATGCGGCTAGAGTCCCAGCCAGCTTTCTTATACCTGCCTGCTGTCCCTTCAATCCTCCCGATCAGAAGGCGGAAACAGCAACCCTGACTTATTAACCTCAACGGGCTGTATTTCTTCATAGTTGAGGTCAGTAGGCGGTCGCCCATGATTCCCATTAAGCGGGCTCAAAGCAGTTCAATAGCTAGTTCCGTGTGTGTTTGTTTGTTGGGTGAGTGAGGATGTCTATATGTGTATAAAATAAAGATATCTGCAATGTCAAAAAGACTTGTTAACCCAGTCATTGTTGAATATTTTGTGCGCTTATCTCAGGTAAAGCCCAGGCTCAAGTTTCCTTAATTTCATTTTTCTAGTGTTTCTACATCCATCTGTCCAAAAACATTGAGACCATGTGGTCAACGTTGAGTTTACTTTTGAAGTGTCCAGAATTTGGACTGATGAATACCTCTAGATTTTCATTTTCTGTTTTTTCATCTAAGACATCCTCAGTTTAGTTGTTTAAAAAAAAAGCAGGAAATGAAACAAGAAAGAAAATTTAATTTCTGTTTTACACTGCTGGTTTTAGAAAATTGAAAATTTCAGCTCAACTATTTCAAGTGCAGTAGTTGATTTTAATTAACTAGGTACAAAAAAATGAATAATGTAAAGATTTTAAAAATTGGTTTCTTCTCTCTTCTTTTACACATTTTCAGCAACTGAATAGAGCATATTCTTCCCTGCATTACATTTCTTTCTTCCAGTACCTTTTTTGGTGGATTTGGTGCACTCGGGAAGAGGGGAGGGGGTGGGGGGAATGATATGACATGGAGTGTCCCCGTGTGCATCAGGTTAATTTGGGGTAGGATTATACCTGGGACCCATGTTTACTTTAGGGGTTATTACCAACCATCCCATACAGTTTAAAACTTGATCTTATTTTGAGAATTCAAGGCCATGTTGACAATAAATGAGTGAATGAAACTAAAATATGAATTTTGGAGAACCATCTGTCAGAGAGCGTACATCCTCTATCCCCTCCTTACTTATGTAGCAACAGTATGCATATGGTATATTGTTTAATCTGCCATTCACTCATGGGCTATAAATTACTGTAGTTCTTTTTTAAGCTTTCTGCGAAGACTTATTATCAACTTGTTTATTGATTTTGTAACAAGTGATCAAAAATAGTTGTAGTTTTCATATGAAGCTTTAGGGAAAGGTCATTTTCTTTCCGAAGCACTTGATATTAATTGTGTTAATGGTTGTTACGGTTGTACAATTGGATATGCCTGTTTTATGTTGATTGATAACATGAATTAGCTGTTTTAACAATTTGTGCTGATCTCCATGCAGAACAACATATCTCGTGAAGCACAAACAATGATCCTGGTTGACCACCCTAACGTTCTTAAATCGCACTGCTCATTTGTTAGCGATCATAATCTGTGGGTTGTTATGCCATTCATGGCTGGAGGTTCTTGTCTTCACATATTAAAGGCTGCATATCCAGATGGTTTTGAGGAGGTTGTTATTGCAACAATACTGCGAGAGATATTGAAAGGATTGGAGTATCTTCATCATCATGGACACATTCATCGGGATGTTAAGGCGAGTGGTTGATTTATTATTTTAATTTAAAGGAGTAATTGTTGGTTCCTATTTCTTTTCTCATCTGTTTAATTTTAAATATCATTGAGCTAATGGAATGCATTTGTTGGGTTTCAATCATTTCTAAATTGTATTATTCATGCTTTGATGTTTTACTCTCTAACCAAATTACTCTTCTGGCATGTCGTTTAGTTCTCTAATGATTATTGTACTACAATGACACGATTTTCATTGCATTAAAATGTCTGTTTCATTGGACTACAAACATAGTTCTATAAACAATATAATCCTAGAAGTTATATTGGATGTTACAGCTCATTATGGTTTCCTTTGACATGCTTTAAATTACTATCAGCAACAAATGTCAATGTTATCACAGGATTTTGCATGGAGTATTTCTCGTGAGTTTCAGTACTGCCGATTTTTGTAGGATCTTATTTTTTTATTTTTTATTTTTTTTCCTTTTTTGTGATTAAGAAACTTCTTGCTATAGATTAATGGCCAATTAAAGCCATACCTTCATCCTTGCTATTATTGTTTTCAATTTCCATAATGTGATCATCGAAGATGAAAATGAAATAAAGCAGTTATATTAATTTAATGAATAGATATGATATTCATACTGTATTGATTAGTGTATAGAATTGCAGGTCTTGTTATAAAGAATTTGCAGGTTACAAGTTTCGCACTGAACTTTATTTGATGTAAATTATTTGTTTCAAACTACTTCACTTTTACATTCTTTGGTGCATAATAGAAGATGATTCTTTGCTTTTAGATCTATATTTATGAGGAATAGCTATGCAAATGATGGTTCTCATTTCGGATCTTAGTTTTGAGGCTTCTATCTCCAACACTTTATTTAAGGATCTTGATTGATATTTGTGTGTAACTATATTGAACTATGAACTTTGAGCATTGATGGTGATTAAACATGTATGTTTTCCTTTCAGATCTCAATCCCTCATGGTGGGTATATCAAACAATATTCATATAAATCAGATTTTAGCTACTTATAAAAAAATAAAAAAATCAAAATGTAGCTGCTAGTTAGTGAATAAGAAATACTCCAAGTAGGGTGAGTGAAATGGACCCTAATAGGATAAAGAAAGAAGGTCTTTTCTTTGGATATACTTGGTTTGCTTCTATGCACTTCAATGAAGGATTTAAGTCCTTTCTGCTAGGTCCAAGAACATAGCAGAAGATCTGATCGAACATATATGTCTTGTTTTACTTCCCTAAGATTCTATAATATCGACTAATCCAAGCCAGCCTAAAAGTGCAATAAGAATTGTCTCCAAGCGAACTCAACAAACTCCCCAGTACCTAAACAATCCCTAATAGCAAACGCAGCAACAATCAACATTTAATTTTTAAAATTTCAAAGATAGATAGGATCTAATAAGATCGAGTTGGATTCTTAGCCTAAAAAATAGAACTCACCACTATTCACTATTCCAGTATAAAAATTGGCGAAGATCAATGTGGAATTGGATCAATTGACAGCGTGATTTAATGAATGGGTACACAAATAGACTTGCTAAAGTGAATACTAAAATACCAAATTGTGTATGAGATGTAACATATGTTTGATTGTAATTGCTGAATTTTTCCTTATTATAATCCCATTACTTAGATTTTCATCCATGCCATCTTTGTTTCTAATAGGCTGGAAATATTCTTATTGATTCTCGTGGTGCAATCAAGCTGGGAGATTTTGGTGTTTCTGCCTGCTTGTTTGATTCAGGTGACAGGCAACGCATGAGGAATACGTTTGTGGGGACACCTTGTTGGTATGCTTTTTACTATTTGCATTTCAAAGAATTTCTTGCTTTTCTTGCTTTCTCTGGTTTTATATTTTGTGGATAATCCCTAGCAATAGCTGGGTCTGTACCCGGTATAAATCAGCTTATCCACAGTATATTTACAAATATCTTGAATGATAATGAGTTTACAAGCAAGCCAGAAGGAAGCAATGCTGTATTGTTCATATGAAGCAGAGTGTGGCTCAAAGATTATCTACCTCATTGTTTCTTGTTATGAATTTATAGCCAAATGATGTATGTTTGTTCTGTAGGATGGCGCCTGAGGTCATGGAGCAATTGCATGGTTATGATTTCAAGTCTGTGTATACATTTCTTTCAAGTATTCTTTCTTTTTATCCTACTAAGTTATTATGACATAATGTTCATTTGACATTTTTCCTGCAGGGCTGATATATGGTCTTTTGGCATAACTGCTTTGGAGCTTGCCCACGGCCATGCTCCTTTCTCAAAGTATCCTCCAATGAAGGTGGGTACATCATATATGCTCGCATGTTTTATCTGTATTTGATTGAAATATTAGTATATTACAATCTGAAGTACTTACAATTGGTAGGTATTGCTTATGACCTTGCAAAATGCACCTCCTGGCCTTGATTATGAGAGAGACAAGAAGTTTTCTAAGGTTTGTTGTCAACATGCATCTCTTTGAGTTTTAGCTTGGTTGTAATTAGGGGTGGCAATTTATACCCAAACCCATTAAACCGCCCAAGCCCGCCCATTAAAATTAAATCAATTGGGTGCCCAATTTAAATGAGTGGGTCATTAATGGGTAAAAAGTGGGTACCCATTATAATGATGGGTTAAGAGTGGGTGGGTACCCATCTTAACCCACTCAAACTTAAAGCAGAGGCAGAGGCAGTTCTTCGATCGATTCATTTTTGTGCGTATTCGATCGATGGTAAGAATAACTCTCTCTCTCTCTCTCTCTCTCTCCATACATATATATATGAATGTGTCCATTTGGTTGCTGAGAAAAATGGATTATGAGGATTGTTTTTTTCTCTCTCTCTTTTTTTTTTCAATTTAATTTGGTGAATTGTTATTGAGGATATAATCTTTTGATTTCATGTGTTTTTGTAGTTAATTATATATATACTGTAGAATCAGAACATAGATGGAAGTCCAAGTTGTTGATTTGGACTTCCATCTATCTTTCAGTTTTTTTCCAATACGGTCAAGCAACCATAAATGCGAACAATAAGTACTGTTACAAAATTGTATATTTTTAACCTGTACAAGTGCTATATATATATATATATATATATATGAAATAATAATATTGAATAGGCTGCAATAGAGAATATCACTGGTTTATCAGCATTGTACAATATTGATGAGCAACACTGAATTATGCTATTCAATTTTCTTCTGTCAAATTCTTAAATGCAAATTTAAATTGCACGAGTCTCTTTTAAATCTCATCAAATATATATATAATACACATATATATTATCATGTTTACATTTCATAAATTTAAAACATTTGTAAATTTATGAGGAATTTACATACTGTGTCCCTTGTTTTCTTCTGATTTTTCTATTATGAGGAATTTTCTCGCACATAACTACAAAATACGAATAGATATAATATATATATATATAGAGTATTTCATAAGTTTATTTTCTATTACTGAAAATATTCCTATAAAAAAAAAAGGGGTTGGAATGGGTTTACCCGCTTATGGCCCGCCCATTTGAGCCCTTACCCATCCATGACCCGCCATTGGCGGGTTGGTAATAGGTTACTAACCCATCCAAAACCCGCCCATTCAAAACCCGCCCAAACCCACCCAATTGCAACCCCTAGTTGTAATCATGTCTGTAACATTCTCTTTTAATTTCTTTCTCCCTCGTCCTTAGTCCTTCAAGCAGATGATCGCTAGTTGCTTGGTGAAAGATCCTTCAAAACGGCCTTCTTCTAAAAAGTTGTTGAAGCATTCCTTTTTCAAGCAAGCTAGGTCGAATGATTATATATTACGGACACTTTTGGAGGGGTTGCCTGCTCTTGGTGATCGTCTTAAGGAGTTGAAGGTTGGTGTATTAATTTTGAGTGCATGATTAAATAATTCACTAGCCAATATCCATTGATGCTATTTCAAGTTATGTTCTATGCTTACAAATATGTCTTTATTAACAAATAGAGAAAGGAAGAAGACATGCTTGCGCAGAAGAAAATACCAGACGGGCAAAAGGAGGAGATATCGCAGGTTTGAATTTTGGATCCTAACTAAGATTAGTAGACTTTGGCAGTTTGCTTAATTGGGAAGCAGCAGTTAACTTTCCATTTTGTTTCACTTGTTATTATCTGGTTCAGATGTGTTGTTCAGTTGTTCCCTATATAAATTTACTGATTGGCGGTTCATAGTACGTTCAAATTCTTTGGTAGAGATCAGCATCTCATTTGCACTGTCAGTGATTATTTATATGACTAGCAGTTGTCACTGGCTGTTTGGATTGTTATGCAGTTTAGTTTTCCTTAAACATCATGCTTTTAGGTATCTTAAGATCATGAATGTAATAGATGACTATCAGCCTTGCTAATACCTGCATGTCTTCCATATTTCTATTTTTTTGCTACTAGAATCACCATATTTTCTGCTTATGCAAATATATTTGCTTTTTGATTTGATTTGGGACTTTTGTTACTTATTTGTGTCCTAAATATATTTGCTTCTGATTCATTACTATCATACTCGTTTATATTTCAAAGATTATTCGAAGTAAAAGCCCTGTGCTGCTGCTTCTCCAAGTTCGGAGAAGTACAGTGTTTGAATTGGTCATCAGGTTGCAAGAAGTCTAATTTAAGAGATGCTATTGTTAAGAGAAAAAATAAATAAACTAAAACAATGCTATAGATTTTTCTTTGAGTTCTACAATTCCACGTTTCTGCTTTTCTTCTCTTATGTTACCTCTGATGTCCACTTGAAGGATCATACCCTTATATACTTGGGCAATCTGATCAGAGCCATGCTTATGACATATTAAAATCATATATTACTGACTTGAGCATAATTCTACATGGTTGAACTTATCAATTTAATTGAGGTCTGAATTCCAAAATTTATGGACATGACTTGTAGGATTTGTATCTACAAGTCGAGGTAAAAACTTATGAGTTATAAAATAGAATGTAATTACCATGGCAAAATAAGAATAGAATGTAGCTATACATACGACAATTTGGATCTATATTTTTTTGATACGAGAAACATAATTATACATATATATATATATATATATATATATATATATATATTGTATCTACAAATTTGATAATTTATAAATGTCAGTAATTTGAATATACATTTGTTCTTCTCTAATTTTTGGGTGCAGAAAATGGTTCATCCTTTGGGAACAACTTTTTAAATCTGTTTTGGATCAACTCAGAATAGTATCAACCATGATTAGTTCTAATGTATTGCAATCCAAAACCAAACGGAGTATTTGTGAACATTAATGTTAATAAAACTGAGTCGGTTTGGTTTGGGGTAGGAGCCTTAAATTCTATAATTAGGAAGCAAAAAGCTCTGTCTGACCTTCATCAATTTTTGTGTCTAGCAATCTAAAACCAAAATAAAGTGAAAATAACTTAACTAAATCTGTGCATTTTGAAGTAGAGTTGGTCTGATGTGGCTTGTGTTTAAGGGCATTGAAGTTTATAATTGGAGGACAGAACATGACAATCTAATCTATTAGAATGTGGAAACAAGTATGTCAATAGGATGCTAAATCTCTTTTCAAATTTAAGGGACATATCTTTGTGCTGATTTCAATATGCCAGTCATTTCTGGTCTCTAAATTCAATTCTCCAAGTTTGCTCATTGTCCATGGATCTGGCAGCATATGCTAATAACAGGTAGATTAGATTGAACTAGGGTGGGAAATTGGGGATTCAATTTTGGCGATATAGTGGCTTGAATTGTGGGTTAATAGTCGGAGATTTCCGCATTATAATTTGAATAAATCAAAGTTTCCTGAGAACTGATCCAAAAACTAACTTGAGGGAGTTATGTTGGTTATCTTGGTGCACTAGACAAAGTTTTATTTCTAATTTCATTACGTCCCTTTTCAAAATGTGAAATTACCTTAACTATGTAAATTGTAGAGCCTATACTCTTTTAATATGTAGGAAACTTAAAATGTTGTTCCCAGTATTTATCCTGTTAATCGAGAGTGCAGTGAGGGGTGGATTGGATCTAACCTTTGGCACATAAAGTGGTTGTCCTCAATTTTTTTTCTAATTTTTTTTTTCTTAGTTGGTACTCACACACACATGCCTCCATGGAAGTTTGAACCCCTGACCTCCCTTTGGAAAGTAAGGGTCTGATACCACTAGGCCACTGGCCCATTGGTGGTTGTCCTCAAATTTGAATTTGCATTTTAATACTTGGCAGTTGCGCTTTTACCACTGTACCAAGCAATGACCCCAATATGTAGTGGACCTACACATGTTTGGATTAGTAATGCTTTTAGTTTTTATTACTATTGGTAAAATAAAAAAATTAATATACTAGAATATATTGGCAGTACAATCACCTTGAGTTAGATTGGCCTACGAGCATGAACGCGAAGGTTTCAGATTTAGCAAAGTTATCATGGCCTGTGCTCTTTTTTTGCCCAAGCTTGGCTTGGCTTGGCTTTTATCAAGAGACTTCTAGTGGGGAGTCCAAAGAAAACACCCTTACAAGCTCTTTTACCGCAAATGATATAGCGCAGCATGAAAGAGGGCTTTTATGGAAAATGGTAAGATTTTATAAGTAAAGGGCGATTTTTAGGTGGATTATGGTAAGATTTTGTTGCGAAAAGACTAGAAAAAAATGGTGGCTTTGGATTGTTGAAGTACAAAAAAGGGTAACTGTTTTGAAATTTAAATTGAGCAAGGGAAGACGACTTTTTTGGGCTATTCTGGGGCTAGATAGTCAGTTTAGTACAAGTAATACTAGAGTGATATGTTAAGCATGCAACTTAGTTAATTATGCCATACAATTAATTAAGACCAGAAATTGATATTAGACAAATAGAGATAATTAAATAGGCATAATCAAAGATAAAGAGGTAAGGTAATAGAAAAGCTAACACATCGATGTAACGTGGTTTGGCACTCGCATACATCCATGCCTCAAGATTGCCTCTTGAGGATTCCCAGATCCACCATGGGGTTCTTCTTGCGGGTGAAGAGCAAACATAACCACTCTTACTTGCAGGTGGAGAGTAAACCTTTACAAGCTTTTCCAATCTCCCTTTACTAAGTGAAATCCTCTTCACCTTAGATTTTACACTCTCAATATATGAAGAATTTAAGTTTGAGTGCACCATGATATCTCTTCAAAGATGGATATACAAGTGAAAGCTCAAGCACCTAGAGTTATTACATGAAGTATTCAAATTGTTGGAAAATATTATTATATGAACCCTTAAATTACTCCTAGGAGAGATTTTAGCCTATGATAGAATATTTGATTGGAGTGATTTATGGTATTAATTTTAGGAATCTTCCATTAATTTATTTTCCGTATTTATCACTTGTATTCTTTTACCTATAAATAGATGTGATCATTGCATAGAAAGATTAAGAGAGAATATAGTAAAACAGATGTAGCCCTTTGGGCCTTGTGTGTTTATCCTTGTGTTCTTCATTTTTCTATTTCTCTCTTCAATTATGACACAAATGAAATCTCAACTCTAGGATTTAACCACTACGAATTATATTCTAGTGTTTGGCTCACTAGTGGTTGCTTCCAATGAATGGTTTTCATCTTTTTAAGCTCAATGGTAGTTTTCACCATCATAAGGTGTTCAAGTAAGTGTGTACACAATGGTAAAACTCTCTTGTAAATAACGTCCATTGCAGAGAGTATTTATAGTCCCCCTAAGAGATGTAGCCGTTATATGAATGAGTTGACTGATTGACCTTAAAGTCTTTTGATTTTCTGGACAGACTCAGTCAACTGGTTATTTGGGATCAATCGACTAACTTCTATGAAGTCAGTGATGGCCAACACACTAGTCTTAATGAGTTCGACTGGTGTATTAATATAAGTCGATTGGTTAGAACAAGCTTCAGACTAGTGAAGGTACTGGAATGAATAAGTTGACTGGTGCTCATAGAGCAGTCGATTGAATTGGCCTTACTTTGAGATGTTGCCTTGCTGAGTTCATTATAGGCACAATTCCATTCCATATCAACTTAGGACTTTATGGATTGATGCAATTTATCTCAAGTCCTAATTCTATGGATCTTGGGACCATTAAAATGATATGAATCAATTTGATCCAAGGTCCTTGAGTCCACTCAATATAGCATTGAGATCTTAAAGGTATGTAAAGCTAGAAAAATCTCAATTGTGAACTAAGGCTCTATGAAATTGAGTTCAAAGCCTAAGTCAATGGTTCTAGGGACCTTTAAGTGATGTGATTCATCTCAAGTGTGGGTCCTAGAATTTGCTAAATTAAGAATTGAGTTCTTTCAAAGCTTTTGCAAGATTGAACCAACTCAAAGTCTGCAAAGGCCTTATGAAATGAGTCAATGAAGTTCATGGCCTACTACTAAGGATCTAGAGACCGTTGAATGATATGAATTGGGTCTTAGAGTCCACTAAGTCAAGAGTTGAGCTTTCAATTAAGTTACTTCAAGAATAATTTTACAATTTAATTCTAACACTCACCCAAGACTATCTAGTCTTCAATGTCTTTTAGTTGAATTCTTCATCTTTGACTTCTGTCTTTTGAGATTTGAATGTCCTCTTCAAGTGGTGGATCCTCCTTGGCTTTGCCATCGATAAATAAGCTCACTTGAGTTGAATATTCATGTCCTGTAAATCATGCACTCAAGTAGACATTAGTACAACACTTCCAATGGTTTGTTATCATCAAAATTACCCATTTATCCTTGGGTTGAAACCTTGGGGTCAACACAGCCTTAAGGTAGTAGTTATATATATATATATATATTTTGATAAGTAAGAGTAGAAATACAATATAGAAGAAAGAGAAGAGAAATATGTAAAAGGTTTGAATGAGATTTATAATATGTAAAGGCTTGAATGATATATTCACTCATTCACAACTCTAGTATTTATAGATAAAAAAGAGCACATTCTCATATTACAAGAAAGGAAATCGAATCAATTCTAAATCAAATCACAGAATATTCAATGGCATATTCTATAGCATAATCAGATCTATGCTAATACGGTAAGTCATTCCATAAATTGTGGCTATCATATTTGCTAACACCCCCCCTCAAGTTAGTGCGTGGATATTTGAGATGCCTAACTTGGACAATGCATCTTCAAACACGGTCTTGCTAGCACCCTTCTTTAGAATCTACAAGTTGCAGAGTGCAAATCTGACTAGCGATGATTTTCACTCAAATGAAGTGACGATCAACAAATCAAAAAATGTCTCCTCAGACCGTAAACAACCAATCATGTCTCATCAGACCATTTTCCTTCATACACATGTTTAAAACATGTAGATGGAAGAATCAACAATGTCTCCTCAGACCATTCCCCTTCATACATATGTTTAAACAATGTAGATGAAAGAATCAACAATGTCTCCTCAGACCATAAAAAAGAAAACACTGTCTCCTCAGACCATTTTTGAATGGGTGGTGCCAAACTCGCAACACTCTCATTGAGGTCGGATCACCCTGCCTATCCGACACCTCCCGGATGGCGATCTCACCTTAGACCATTCCCGAATGGGTGGTGCCGAACTTGCAATGCACTCATTACAGTCGGACCACCTTGGCTCTGATACCAAGTAGAAATACAATATAGAAGAAAGAGAAGAGAAATATGTAAAAGGTTTGAATGAGATTTATAATATGTAAAGGCTTGAATGATATATTCACTCATTCACAACTCTAGTATTTATAGATAAAAAAGAGCACATGCTCATATTACAAGAAAGGAAATAAAATCAAATCTAAATCAAATCACAGAATATTCAATGGCATATTCTATAGCATAATCAGATCTATGCTAATACGGTAAGTCATTCCATAAATCGTGGCTATCATATTTGCTAACAGTAAGGTAGTAGTTATATTAAAAAATTTGGGATTTATTAACAGGATGATTTTTCTGTGAATCTCCAGAGTCGATTCTAGGATATCATTTTTTCCATCGATGGTCTTCTTAGTTTCTAGTCAGCCTGACCCGAACATTATTCCCTGATTACTAAATCTGTTACTTTTTCTGTATTGATGTATTTGTTGGTATGCATATATAATTTGTTCATTTGAGTAGAGAAATAAATTAAAAGTTATTGGTCCTTAGTGAGTATAGATATTTGTTCAACATGTAAATATTTTGTTATAATCATGATCTCTTGAGATATGCTATTGATTTTTTAGTCTTGTAAATGTCTTTCTTTGGTAATATAGTTGTTTTCATTTTCATTTTCGTTTTAATTATTTGATAGGTATTTCTCTCTGTTATAATTTTACTGCCTGTTGTGGTCCTATCAAGCTTGTTTTTGTTTGTGATTATGGGCATTAGATTTTTCTTTTCTGGAGGACTTTCTTCACTTCATTGGTAGAATTCCTTTATGCTGTTGATAGATGGTTCTAAATGAATCTTTCAATTTGTATAGAATGAATATAAACGTGGGATCAGTGGTTGGAACTTCAATCTCGATGACATGAAGGCTCAGGCTTCCTTGGTATAGTAACTAACTTTCTGTTCTGATCAGCCTTCCCCTTTTAAAACTCATTGAAATTTTTTTATGTTTACCAATAAACATGTTATATGTGTTTTCTTTCTGTTAGATCCAGGATGGTGAGGACACCATGTCAGACAAAGATCAAGGCAGTAACTCAAATGCTATGTATGGACTTGATATGCGTGAAAAGAAACTTCTGAATCAGTTGTCTTCTGCGAGCCAAACTTCACAAGTTTCAGATTTAGTATGTCTACACCCTTTTGCATATATGATGTTTGATGGACACAGTTTGTGAGTCTATCTCTGGTTCCTAATGATATGGTTTTACAGGAAGATATTGATCTGATCCGGAACCAACCAACCCCTAGTCCATCAGCCGAATCAATTTTGGCTAGTACCATGTATGTTATCTTAGGTGGATGGTTCACAATATTCCTTTGACATTGCCCCATTATTATATATCTTCACACACACACACACACACACATATTTATATTTATATATAGTTTGCTTTTAAGTAGTTCTAGTAATACAGAAGATTGGTGCTTGTGGTAGCACAATTTATGGCACTTAGTTGATGTGATTTTCTTTTTATGACCTTTCTGTGGACAATGCTTCTGTGGTTTGTCTAATCAAAACTAAAATCATTTTCTTACTGTCCTTGATTAGATGTGACAAATCTGATGATGACATGAGCATTGCTAGTACAACCCAAGAACACCAAATTTCACAGAATTGTTCTCCTCGTTTCGAGGGTCAACTTGAAAATAATTTGGCTGGAAAACGTGGCTTAGATGGCACGGCTGTGCAATCTTATCAGAGGGGGGTAGGTTCATCAGGCAGCGTTGCTTCGCCAGATGCTGTCCTTTCCCCTAGTACAGAAGTGAGGTATGGTTTTTAAATTAACCACTTGGTACCTTTGGTCGTAATATTGTTATGAATAGTGGGAATTTCTTTTTTCTTTTTTCATTGAATTACTTGAAAGCAACATATATTGCCAGCACATACTATTCAGCTTAATTAAGGTTTTTACTTATGCCTTGTCCATAAGCATACTTTTTAGTTCTGTTTCTAAGGCCCATTAAATGGCTGTGAATGATGACAGTGTGACTACTGTTATCCCTTCAATTTTGAAGAATACTGTAAAAAATTGAGTGATGGTGTTTTTCATCCCCCCGGTAGTCGAATGATCTTTTTCCCATAGCGTTTGTAGCCTGGAATTCTTTCTTTGAAACGAGTAACAAATTAACAATTAATGTTTAAATTGCAAAAAATAACCTATTACTCAAAAATACTTGAAAAAAGAAAATCATGATGTTTTGCAGACAAGCCAGAAGTAATGATGTGCTGAACGCCGGTCAGTAAAGTTCAATGGATTGACTTCATTGCCACTGAAAACAAAAAACACTTACGTGTTGCATTTGGGAGCACTGAATTGGCACTTTGGATTTGGAATTGGAGGAAAAATTTAGTTCAAAGTTGGACTAAATTTTCTCCAATTCCAAGGCGTCGTTTGGTGCTCCTAAACATAGCTTTAAGGTTTTAAATAATTCAAAATTGTTGCAGGTACAACCTAAGAGTAGTTAAGATCATAGATTTTTTCATTCAGGAAAAGAAAAAAAAGTCAAATCAAACCCTGTCAACTTCACATTCTTATACTTATGTAACTACACGATCTCCCAATAGCTGAGGTCCATTTCCTCACAAATCACTCTCCTCATATCACCAATATGAGCTAGCTCAACTCATTGATAGGTGCACCATAAATCATTTGGACTAGCACACATTTGGACAAGCACACATTTCGTACTTATCAAAATGATCGGGGTCTTACAGAATTCGATAATGATTGGGTCACACAGTTCTTTCATGTGATTTCAACAATTTAATAGATATTTGAAGCAGTCCTTTAAACACTTAAAAGTTTTGTACAAGGATTGACATATATATATGCGTTTATGTATATACATGAATGTCTTGAAGTAAGCTATGCATCTTCTAAGTTCAGGAATTATTTAACTAATTAGAATGGTAGAACATGTCAATCATTGTACAAAAATTAGAATATTACTTAGGCTGTGTTTGGCGGCATGGAATTGGAGCCTTGAAATTGGAATTGGTGGAATTGGAGAAAATTTTGGTTCAATTTTCTGAGTTACTTTTCTCCAATTCCAACTCCAAAGCTCCAATTCCATGCCTTCCAAACATAGCCTTAGTAATATTGCAACATCTTGTGATCTCCTTTTAGTTCTTCTCTCTATCAAGGTAAGTAATATTACAAACTCTTGTGATCTCGTTTTAGGTTTTCTCTCTCATCAAGGTTGTAGACTGATTAATGTAACCCTATATATTCTTAATACCCATGTTTCACTCCTAGTTAGGTTTGGATTTTTATTACTATTTCTATGATTTCTTAATTTATTGAATACTTAATTATCTTTTACGATTTTACCCCTTAATTTACCATTAATTTGTGTTATTAATTATTGGTCATTCTGGGGCATTCTGGTCCTACATCAATATGTTCCTTTGGTATTGAAGATGATCAGATGCATCTAGGTCCAACTCTTAGCCGTCTGTAGTGAAATGTCGATAATGCGCAGCAAAGTTTCTATTCATATCTCAACTCAGACACTTGACTAAATCAGCAACACTTAGGCTGAATGTCTCTTTTGTGGATTTACTTTATTGACCAGAGTTCTCATGAAGAAATGTATGCCGTTGTGTTGGCCCTAATGTTGGGATTTTTTTACCAATCTTTCTTAAATTTTATTTTCCATAACCGTAAAATTGATCTGAGGTTCTGAATCATGAAACCAGACTGCTGAGCATGTGGTCAGTACCTATAAACAGCTTTTGTCAATAGACACTTTCAGTTGTAATACCGCCCTACCAAAAACCTGTTTGAACAGTGTTTTCTCCTGATAACATAAATAGCTGACCACTGCTGAGCAGAAAAAGCCATTCAATCTTGTTTGGCAGTTAGTTCGAGTAGGTATTTACGAGACCAGAGTTATCGGACTTTCTTATTATGTCGATGGATCAGGCGTTGGAATATTTCATTTAGGCCCATGACTTAGGAGTACTTGAGGCTGAAAAGACTAGAAAATTGGAGTGTTGAACGTATATCATTGCATTTCCTCATATCATATAATCAGTACATATATGTTTTAAACTATCGAAAAGTAACTTAATTCCTGTAGTTTTCTTCTCTATTTTAGTGGTACCGAATACAAAACAAATTGCAGTTGTGGCCTTCCATTTTTTACTCATACACGAATCCAATTTTATTGCAAGGGTATTTAATTCTACATTCCTATTTCTAGCTTCTATCGGAAATGGTATACAGTTATTTAACTAGCAGAATGTTATTTTCATTGGTTCTCTTTTTGAGTTTGTTTTTTCCTACTACAGCAATCAAGATATTTCACTTATAATTTCTTTCATTCTTTGAATAAAATATGTTTTATTTATCACAATGCAATTTTTTTGGCTTTTTTTACTAACATTTGTGGAACTTTCAGCTGTAAGTTGCAAAACCAGCCCCAGAACAATTCAAATTGCAACGGAGTTCCAATTCCACAGGCAGTACATGATGCCACTGCTGAAGTTCTTTCTAAAGCTTCTAAAACATCCGGCAAGTGATCATTATTTTTCTTGATTCTTTGCTTCCCCAGATGATTGTCTTCATGTGGATGAATTTATTGATTTTATTTGATGGGTATATGTTATCTTTGCTCCATTTGGTGCCAAAGACTATTACCTTTTCCCATCTAATCAAAATTTTATTGGGACAGCAAATAGTGATGAACTTGATGAGAAAGCAAAGTGTCCAGTTGTTCAGCAAAAAGGACGTTTCAAAGTTACGTCAGAGAATGTTGATTTAGAAAAGGTGATGGCAATTATCTTTACCTGGTGTTACTATTTTCCCTCCAAAATCTCTACCAGTCCTCAAACCCTGTCCAAAGGGTTGATGCTACTGTTTTCGTTCAGATTGTATCTAAATTTCCATTTCTTTTCAGGTAGTTCAGCCTCCAACACTGCAAAAAAGTCATAGTATGCAGGTTTGTAACTTCTAAACTCAGCTCAGTCATGCCAAACTATCTGTTAGATCATATCTTATGCCTAATTGTTTTTTCCTAGGAGTTTCTTTTCAAAAAGAATAAGCAGTCACATTTGGACAGCTGTGCATATTATTTTACCATTCATATTTCCTGCTCTTATACATGGTTGACACGCTTGTCAGTCACACTTATGTTTAATATGGTAGCATATCAAAATGACCGTGTAATTGTTTAATTTGCCCCCAATGTAAATTACAACAGCATCACGATTTTGGTCTAGCCCAAGATGCATTCAATGTACATTGTCTTGCAAAGATTTAATTTGAGTTTTATTTGAAAGTGGCCCTCCAAAAGTATAGTAATGAATTCAAAAGAATACACAAATAAAGGAATTTGTCTAATCTACTTGAGGAATCCCATTGAAGAAGTTCCAAGGAACTTCTGCTTCAGGCGGGGCTTCTTATTCACCTGAGCTTTCAGAAATAGCAGTAGTTTCTTCTTGTTATATGAATAAAATAAATTAAATTACTTATGAAAATAAATTTATTCTTATTTTGATTTCTCGGAAGGTGATTACCGTATTTCTTGTTGTGTCCTATGAAACTTAATTATTTGAAAGAACTTGGCTTGAGCCTCCAATTCAGTAACCAGTAACAGTCCCACCTTTGTGTGCGTGAATTTTCTCTTTTGTCTCACTTGCATTAGTCTGCAACCCTTAGCTTGAGATTCAAGTGGAAATGGAGAAGCAACTGAAGTGCCTAAGTTACATGCTGATTTATTTTTGTTTTTGTTAGAATGCTTTATATATATATATATATATATATATATAAGTGTTGGGCCATTATGTAATTACAGAAAGTTGATAGGGGTCCTTGTGTTGTTAAGTAAGACTTGTACTCTTTATATAAGCCTTGTACACTTTATTAGGTTTCAGTATGATGAATATATACAAGTCTGAAACTTCTCTCTCTCTCTCTCATATATATATAACTTTGAACATGGTATCAGAGCGTACGATCATGGGTGTGAGAATCTGTAATTGGGTTCTTATTGTATAAGATTTGAATTGCAGTTGTGGTGTTGGTGATCTCTACCGTCGGTTCCTTGTTTGTCATCATCAACAGCGGCTTGTTCATCGTCGTCAGATCTGCAACGTCGTCAGATCTGGGAGTTGTTCGTCGTCGTCTCTGCCGTGTTCGTCGTCGCCGGCAGCTTCTCTTTGGTTTGCCAGCGAGCTCGCCGACCTCTGCAATCTTGATTCGCAGAGGTGAGGTTCATCTCTGTTGGCCGGAAGTTGCAGCGATCGCTGCTTATTGATTCGGCCGTTACTTGTGATTGGGTCGCTGTCGTCGTCGCCGCGTTATTCCCCGGCTTCTGTGAAGGTGTGAAGAAGAAGACCTCTGTTTGGCTACACGGTTATAGCTACTTCAACCCTGGTTTGCTAAACCTGGATAGCCCAGGTCAGTCCAACCCATTTGTCCAGGCCCGTTTACCAGAACCGACCCGGTCCAAGATCCGACCCGTTTTCCAGGTTCAGCCAGAATACAGAATTTGTTTTTTTTTTTTTTTTTTTTTTCTTCTTCTTTGTTTTACTGGATTCAACATGGCATCTAGTTCAGATTTACTTTCACCCACGAACAGTCTTAATTCTCCCATGACTTCAGTTAAACTTAATGGGAAGAATTACATATTGTGGGCTAAATCTGTTACCATTTTCCTCAAAGGCAGAGGTCTTGGTTCTCATTTGACTAAAGAGAAACCCAAGGCAACTGATGCCACCTTTGATGCATGGGAAAAGGAAGATGCTCAGATCATCTCTATGATGATAAACAGTACTGAACCCCAAATTAGTTCAACTCTACTTTATTTGGATACTGTCAAGGAGATATGGGACAGATTGCAGCAATTGTATTCTGGGACAGGTAATATCACTCGTGTTTATGAGCTTTGTAAGCAGTACTTCAATCTTGAACAAGGTACTCAAAGTATAGAAGAGTATTACTCCAAAGTTATGGGAGTCTGCGAAGAGCTGAATATGTATCAGCCCATTACCGGTGATGTTCGCAGTATACAACAACAGCGTGCGGACTTTAATGTTGTCCGTTTTCTTACTGGTTTATCATCAGCATATGAGCCTTTTCGTGCACAGATTATGAGCAGTCCAACACTTCCATCTCTTGTTGAGGTGTTTTCTAGACTTCAGCGTGCTACACTTGCAATTGATACCTCAAATTTGAATATTGGACAGAGTGGTGAGCGTTCAACATTAGTGGTTTCAAAGGGTGAACATAATACTTACCGTGGAGGTTGTGGGGGACGCTCCACACGTGGTGGTCGTGATTCACGTGGAGGACGTGGCCGTGGCAGGGAATTCAGAAAGTGTACCAATTGTGGTCTTTCTAATCATACTGTGAACTTTTGTTGGGATCTTCATGGGAAACCATCTAGTTATGCCAATCAAGTTTCCTCTTCTCCGAATGATGTTGCTTCTGGATCGCACAACGTAGCTGAATCAGATACAGTTCCTGTTCCACAGGATGAGTATACTTAGTTTTTGTCTTATAAGCAAGCATCTAATTCATTTTCTACGGCTACTTTTGCCCAGTCAGGTACTGCACACACATGTCTATTGTCTTCTAGTCGCAGTCCTTGGATTATAGACACTGGAGCATCTGATCATATGACCGGATGTTCTTCTCTTCTATCTGATTTTCATTCTGTACATCCTTCTCAAAGTGTTACTCTTGCTAATGGTTCATCCACTCAGGTTTCAGGTTTGGGGACAACTCAACTTAGTGATTCATTGTCTCTCTCGTCTGTTTTACATGTTCCACAGTTTCCCTTTAATTTAATGTCTATCAGTAAGCTTACTAAATCTCTCCAGTGTTCTGTTACATTTGATCCTACTTCTTGTGTGTTTCAGGATCTCAAGATGAAGAAGACGATTGGTACGGGGCATGAAGCTGGTGGCTTATATTATTTTGATTTCGAACCTTCTCCTGTGGCTCTTCAGTCTTCTCTGTCTCCATTCCAGTGGCACTGTCGCCTTGGTCACCCGTCACTTCAAGTTTTGAAGCGTCAAGTTCCTAGTCTTAGTCATTTGAAATTCTTGTCATGTGAAGTTTGTCAACTTAGTAAGCACCATCGCTTGTCTTTCAAGTCTAGGGTTAATAATCGTGTCTCTAGTCCTTTTCATTTGGTTCATTCAGATGTATGGGGTCCAATAAAACATTCTTAAATCAATAAATTTCATTATTTTGTGACATTTGTGGATGATTATTCTCGCCTGACTTGGTTGTTTTTAATGAAAGATTGTTCTGAGTTATTTTTAATTTTTCAAAAATTTCGCAAAGAAATCCAAACTCAGTTTGGATGTCCAATTTGTATTCTACGTTCTGATAATGCTAAGGAATATTCTTCAACTCCATTTGATACATATTTTAGTGGTAAAGGAATTATTCATCAAAATTCATGAGTTTATATTTCACAACAAAATGGAGTTGCAGAACGTAAGAATCGACATCTCTTAGAAGTAACTCGTGCTCTTTTTTTTATACGCGTATGCCTAAACGGTTGTGGGGTGATGCTGTTCTTACTGCCTGTCATCTTATTAACCGTATGCCGTCTTCTGTATTAGATGGCAAATCTCCACATTTTATTTTATTTCCTGATTCTCCCTTGTTTTCTTTTCCTCCTCGGGTTTTTGGATGTGTATGTTATGTCCACAATCTTGGTCCTGGTTTTGATAAATTAGACCCATGTGCCACAAAGTGTGTGTTTCTTGGCTACTCTCGCTCTCATAAAGGTTATCGCTGCGATAGTCCTGTTTCTCTACGGTACTTTATTAGCGCAGATGTAACGTTTTCTGAGTCCACCCCATATTTTTCAGATACTGATTCACTTCTTGATATCACTCTTGAGTTGCCTCCTTCTGCCGTTCCTCTTCCCTCACTCTCTCTTCAACCTCGATCTCTTGTTCCTTCATTTGCCCCGTTACAGGTGTACACTCGAAGACCAAAGCCATTTGTTGTCGTGCCTCCTCCATCGTCTTCAGAGTCTTTGGATCTGGCGCCTTCCATTGTGTCTGATTCCTTGCCTATTGCACTTCGTAAAGCTCCTCGCTCATGTGTTACTAACCATCCCATTGCTCATTATGTCTATTATAATTCCTTATCGCCATCATTCTCCTGTTTTTCCTCTAAGTTGTCTACTACATTCGTTCTTAAGACTGTGCAGGATGCGTTGTCTGATTTGGGCTGGAGGAAAGCAATGCAAGATGAAATGGATGCTTTGCATAAGAATGGCACGTGGGATCTTGTTCCATTACCTCCGGATGTCAAACCTGTTGGTTGTCGCTGGGTATATACTGTGAAGTATCTTCCAGATGGGTCTGTTGAGTGTTTAAAAGCATGTCTTGTTGCCAAAGGTTATACCTAAACTTATGGTATTGACTATGACGAGACATTTTCTCCCGTTGCTAAGATTTCTTTTATTCGTGTTTTGATTTCTCTTGCTGCTAACAGACATTGGCCTCTGTTTCAGTTAGACGTTAAAAATGCCTTTTTGCATGGTGACTTAGCAGAAGAGGTTTATATGGAGCAACCACCTGGGTTTGTTGCTCAGGGGGAGTATCTTCACACTGTTTGTCGCCTTAAAAAGGCTCTGTATGGATTGAAACAATCTCCACGGGCTTGGTTTGGAAAATTCTCTGAGGTGGCGTTAAAATTTGGTCTTAAGAGATGTCAGACCGACCATTCGGTATTTCGCCAGCGCACTAAAGCTGGCTTCATATTTCTTGTGGTGTATGTAGATGATATTGTGATCACAGGTGATGATTCTGAAGGCATTGCTAAGTTGAAGTTGTTTCTGCAATATCAATTCCACACTAAAGACTTGGGTAAACTTAGGTATTTCTTGGGCATTGAAGTTGTTAGATCCAAGAAGGGTATAAGTTTATCCCAACGCAAATATGTGTTGGATTTATTAGAAGAAACAGGTAT